TATATATATATATATATATATATATATATATATATATATATATATCACCGAGAGACCGATCTGGCACCGATCTCAACGCGCGTCAATCGATCATCCTGAGCGCGTCATTGGACGACGATTATCGCGGATACTCCGAAGCATTCGAGAGCCGAGAGAGAGCCTCCGGTACCTTTGCGTATCCATAAAACCCTCCGCAACCGGCGGAGATCTCAAGGTCCCTCTGCCTCCTCTCGAATCTTGTTTTCCTCACGAACGACTCACCAGCAGAATGCAACGAGGATCGGCGCAACGTCCATTAAAGAACGCGCGGATCTCGTCCCGCGTCCTAGTCTTATCTCTCTCGAAGGACTTCGACCATATCGCTTCTACCTGCTTGTGCGTATCGTGCTGATTACTCGGAGAGTGGAGGTCGGTTGGAAGAATGGAAACGCATAGCGCCGATTGTACACTCAGAAGTGGATATCATAGCTCAGATTTCTAGTTCAGCAAGACAGATTTCTAGTCCAGCATCTAATAAAATCGTTCCTCCTGCTTTATCTCGCGCTTCTTCTTCTTCTTCTTCTTCTTCTTCTACTTCTTCTTCTTCTCCTTCTTCTCCTTCTTCTTCTCCTTTTTCTTCTTCAAGTCTTCAAGTCTGTCTTCAAGTTGCCTTATAAATTTCCGACCTACTAAGGTCAAAGTACCACTATTTAGTTTGAGCTAAAGGTCCAACAGATTGCTTCCTCGGGAATCTCGCGCTTCACACCACCGGAAGCTTACGTCTATCGCGCCAACTTCGTCGCACTCCTTCTCTCGACGATCCCCCGAGAAGCATTTCCGAGTTGAAGCGACGAAAGTGTGCGTAATAGGGTCGATGATCGACGATGACGACAACAAGGACTGAGACGATCGGAACCCTCGGTTTTCACGTGGGGTGAGAAGCTTTAGGAGCATGTGATTGGACAGTTTATATACACGCTGATGTGTGGTTCAATCTTCTCTTTCGAACTGTGCTGAGCAACGCTTTCCTGAAACCAAACAAACGATTCTTCATCAGCTAGAGATTAAATCAACGCGCCGCAACCTTGTCTCGTATTTATTTTCTGTCTTTCCTTGAGGGATAATGCATTCTGTCAAGATTTGGAGCTTAAATCTCCATCGCGACGTTTCGTCAAGGTTCAGGCGAGAGAAAATATAAATATAGCTTTTTACTCCCCGACTTTCTTAGACGATATTCTTAGAGATTTGTCCAAGTTTCGGAAGGAGAAGCTTAAATCCGCACCGCGTCATCAAGGCCAGGAACGATTGAAATATAAAAGCTGCTCGGCGAGCAACCAACCTCGAGAATCTCTTAAGGTCTGGGTCAAACTATTCTCGTCGCATATCGCATGCACTCAGTTTGATCAATCGGTTGGACGATCGATACATCTTTGTCTCGAAATTTCACGCAATCCACCATCCCGTTCTCTCGCTCAGATAAGTATAGTACTGTATAGCATTTCCACGACGGCCACTTTCTCCATCGATCAAAGACAACTGATTGACGATATTGAATATATTAATATGCATATTTAAGTGTACGATAATATCTAACATAAGAGGATAACTGACGTTTATTTGTTTTTGCACAGTTATTATTTATATCCATTTCTACCAATGTAAATTAACTTTAATCTCGATCCAACTTATTCTTCATATTTTTCTTGTTTTTAGAGAAAGACGAAAAATAAGCTGAACTGAGATTAAAATCAATCTACATTGATGAAAACAAAACTTTAAAGGAACAAATACCTTGTAATGGATGTGAAAAAAAAACTTTTACCCCATCAATAAATTATGTTAAGCATTCCCATCGATAAATAATATTGAATTATATGGAAAAATCGTAAAATATATTTAACGTATAAAGTCTATCTAAAATTAGCTGAGGGATGTGGATTCTCTCCAAAGTTTTATTCGCAAAGTTCTTTTATGTCTCAAAAGCTAATTTCTTGATATTTTTCAAGAAAACGTATGTGTCCAAATTCGTCAAGAAATTTTTCATTAAACTTGTGAATAAGTCCTGCAAATTGACAATGCATTTAAAAAATTCCCACGCAGCACGAGACGTCGCACGGACGTCGTATAGATATTACTGTCCTTCGGACAAGACGTGTGGGTTATTTACTGATGCAATGATCAAGACAAAAGATCGTTTCTGTTGAACAAAGAAGAAGGATATTTCACGAAATAATTCCTGGCTTCGCTGCAATTAATGATTAATGACATGGGTGAAAGAATGGGTCTAAATTACGTTATCATCTCGTCGTGCCGAAACTCCATTTCAGAAACAAATACTCTGATTAAAAGATTGATGATGAGCGTCACGCCGCCTTGCAATGCCGCGGAATGTAAAATCAACATCGCACACTCCGTCGCGTTCTTTATCAAAGCTCCATCGTATAATGCTTGATTCATGCCATACAGCCGCCGACAAAAATGAATCGGAGGGACAAATTGCTCATTTGTTGACGCTATCCGCTCGGTAGATCTATATTGATAGCGTGACGGTAAATTTAATATTAAACACGGTAGTCGAAGGGTTTTTAATTTAACAACTATTATTGCCTTGGAGAAAAAGTCATAAACACGCAAGGAAAAGAACAAAACGTTACAAAGCGTTGCGCAGTAATTGCACAGAAAAAGAGAATCCTTTGTCGGTATCCAAGGAAATACTTGAATACGAACCGCAAAAGGAAGTATCGAATATTTTGGAGTGTTCAACTTCACAATTTCTTCTATGATTTACGAGAATTCCTCGCGTTGAGCAAGAAAATATGCAAATACGGATCGTAAAGTGAGATTTCAAGATATTTTGGAGTGTCCAACCTCGCCGTTTTCTTCATGATTTATAAGAATCGTTTACATTGTGCAAGGAAATGCGCGAATGAGGACCGTGAGGTAAGGTTTTAAGATATTTTGGAATGTCCAGCTCCATAGTTTTCTCCGTGATTTATAAGAATTCCGCGCATTGTATAAGGAAATGTGCGAGTATAAACCGCAAAATGAAGTTTTAAGATAAGTTTGAAATATATCCTGCGCTACAAAATTATCTCTATTATTTATAAGAACTATACGGTATAAAGAAATACGTGAATGTGGCTCGCAAAGCGAAATTTTAAATATTTTGGTGTATTTAGCTCTATAATTTCTTCTATAATTTAAATCCTTCATACTTTAAATACGAAGCGCCTTACAGTTCCGAGTGTTAAGATGTTGAACTAACATTTATTTAAATTAAATTAATTTTTTCAGAAATAAATCCTTCATGTTACGTAAGGAAACATGCAAATACGGATAGTAAAGAAAAGAGTTTAAATATTTTGAAGTATCTAATTGTACGATTAATTTATTATTTATAAGAATTCTTCGCGTTGTATAAAAAAATATGTAAATACAGATTATGAAATAAAGTTTTGAATATTTTGGAGTATCCAGCTATACAGTTTTTTCCAGGATTTATAAGAATCCTTCGCATTGTATAAAGAGGTGCACGAATGCGGGCTGCAAAGATAAATTTTAAATTTTTTTGGAGCATTCAGCTCCACGATTTTCTCGATCATTTATACGACCCCTCGCATTGTACAAAATACGCGAATGCAGATTATAAAATAAGATTCTGAGTATTTTGAAGTGTCCACAATTTTCTTCTTGATTTATAAGAATCCATCGCATTGTACAAAGAAATGCGTAAATGCGGACTACAAAGTGAAGTTTAAATATTTTGGAGTGTACAACTCTCCACTTTTCCACTCTCCAATTTTCACTATAATTTGTGAGAGACCCTCATGTTGTGCACATAAATATGCGAGTGCAAATCACTATGCAAAGTTTCAAGATCCTTTGGAATCTCCAACTTTCACAGTTTTCCCTAGGATTTACGAGCATCCCCTGCATTTTGAGAAAATAAGTGAAGCAATCAAGATTATTCCAAGATACTTCGAAAGTTCCGAATCTCTGCCGCAGTTTTCTCCTGATCTACGAAAAAAGCAGTTATTGTTAAAAATGAACAGTATCTCCACTCGGGAAAGTAATGGCAACTAAAAAATTGAACGTATAGAGGATTTATTCCCCATAGTTGTATCTTACATTTCGGAGCATTCAATTTGACGGAGATTGAATGGACTGCTGGAGCATGAATTAGAACCCCGACGATACCGAATCCCTCCGACCTGCGTATCATCGGTATGTCGATCCGTATATCGGTGACTGTTAGCAGAGCTATCTCTACACCCATAAATCACATTGTATAACGTTCCTGCCGGCGGCTGCGTGAATCAGGCTTAACATCGGGCGCCCGCAGACAAGACCGGGCGCGGCGAGGGGAGTGCAAACTAGATGGAAACCGGTAGTGTGCATTTTCAACTTGCGCTCGCATACACACACACACACACACGCACACATAAAGTGCATACACATACGTCCGATTTTAAACCTGTGTTAAATTTACACTGGCCGTACACATGTTACCACCTGCCTTGTCACGTACCGCTACGAGCGTTGACTCCAAATCTTGGTTTAATGCAAATAGCAGCCGCACGGCTTACCGATAACTCCACCTTCGAAGCAGACGTCCGATGTACTTGTAAGCCGACGTAAGGAGAATCAGCGAGGACGCGGTTTTGAACACCGCGATTTTACGCGGGGAGTCGATCGGAAATTCCGCTTCTGTCCCGCCGTCCTTTTAAGTGAAAACCGATCGATCCTTAAGATCTCACGAGAAAGCAGATCAGAGATTTCCGCAGCTTCCCGATCCGCGCCTCACGAGACCTGATCTTCCGAACGAGAACTCAACAGGCGAGCGTATCACTGGCGGGCGGGCGCGCGCATGCGGTTCCTAAGCCTA